CCGTTGGTTTCACCGAAACAACCTTGGATGCATCGGACTTCGGTCGCATGCGGGCCATCACTGGTGCCCGTCGCAACATTATTACAAGCCACTACGCACGCACACCATCCCCCGCCCCCACCTCTACTCCACCAGTTCGCCTTCAAGCTGCCACACTGGCCCTTCCCCATGGTTTTGCACTACCCCCCGGCATGAACTTTGAGGCCTTCTTGGGAACTCTTCTCGAAAAGCACCAGCAGGAGAACGGTGGTAAGTCTCCTACAGTAGCTTCCCGTATAAATCCCCCGTGCCCTCACTTTCAAATCCTCAATACTGGACCTCCCAATATTATTCGCAAACCATTCCCAGTTCCAATGCAACCAAATACGTCATCTCCCGTTCCACCTGTTCCACGAACCACGTCGGCCAAAGTGTCACCTGCGAATAGTCAGAATGATGACACTCCACATGGTATGAAGAAAGCTGCCGAACTTGCTCACGATCCTATTACCGAATACCCCAGTACCGACGAAGAGCGGGAAACAGAGGAAAAAGAAGACACCAAGCTCCCAGCGGAAGCGAGCCAACCCTCCACTTAACACATACTATCACACAAAACTTTTACAACCTCACATAAACCACGTTGACTTCAAAATTGCAAAACCTAAACCCTAAATATAAGCCACATGATTCATTCGATTCTATTCACCATTATCCTGTATTAGTAGACAAGTAAAACTAGTACTGGAAACGGAGACGACCCAGAGGGCATATGAATTCTCGTCCAGGTCGGACTCATGGAGAATGGGTTCGTTCAAAGGACCCATTTCTATCTGTTCAGCGGAGGAGCTGGTTGTCGAGGACACGACGACGTTATCCAGAGATTCGGACTCTGCATCCACCAGCAAACGGTTGTTCCATCCAGAATCCATGGGGTGTGGTCTGGGGAACATGTTCGTACGGTAGCGGTAGCTGGCTGTCAAGCTAGCTACCAGGGGGCTAGCAAGTAGAACTTGTGATCAGTCCAGTGTAGCGCTTTAGTCAAATCGAGTGTTCTTTATGGGTTGTTGTGGGTTGTGTGCTCGAGACCTTGGCTGGCCAACGGTGGTACCGGTACACCGGTACCATGGTCCTGTTGTATTTGAACAACAGGGAAGACCGGTCGACCCTGCGTTTTGTGTCGACCAGTGACAGAGAGGACATCATGCATCAATGCCTGCTAGCTAGAGCTGGACTACTAGCTATTACTAGCTAGTACACGGTTCAATAGTATTCAATAGTTGACAATCAATCGTGCTTCAGACTGAGACTCATTCTCCCGTGTGGTGTATTATTTTTTTTGTTTGTCACAAAGATTAGTACTCTCGTGTTATTAGTGCATCATATGCATATATATTATCATCAGATTCTCTTCAGCATCAGCCGTGCTATGTTCATTAGTGGTGTGTGTAATGGAGGGATCTTATTACAGATCTCAGTCCTACTGCGCCAGTGGATTGAATCGTTCAGTACGGATGAGTTATTGATGAGTTTCTTATTGTTCTGTCAACAACCAATTCAGGTTATCCAAGGGCATTCTGCTAATTTGGAAGGCCCTATAGGTGAACTATGATGTCTTATTTTAGTTACATCGTGCTGTCTTGTGGTGACCATCGCACATACACAAGAGATGGTCTGTTTCCTTCTTGAGAGAAGGACTCGACTCCAGCACCCCTAGCTAGCTAGCACCACCAGCACAAAGCATCCACGCCATCGACTTGTCTGGGAATATTGCTCTTCTTAGTGGTGGGTGCCGGCACTAGCTACCGGTAGTACTCTAGAACGCCATTTCTGAGCCTCAGTGAATGTCGGGTGGGTGGAAAAAGGTGCAGTGTTTTGGTGCAAGTGCAGTGCTCTTGCACTGCTCTGCACTAGAAAGCACTTTCCACTGGGAGGAATTCACCTTCAACTCACACCCCAACTCACACCCAATTCACACCAACTCACACCCCAACTCACACCCTACTCACTTACTTATAAAAGAACTAACTTGCTTTAAAGCTACACCTTCTTTAGTCTTCCTGAATCGCCGTGGTGCTGGCAGTGGCTTGATGGGGAAATTCCCATTGTTGAGCTAGCTTATTGGGACCAATGAATCTTCATTGGAAGGCTTCTAAAATTGAAGGTAGGATATGCACTGACGAAACAAGGGATGGTGTTTCTAATGGTACAACTTTCGGCTTTTCAAATCATTTCAATGTGCTTCCTGTGGTCCTTGAGTTACGGTAGCGGTACTGTTGCGGATTGAATGATTCAATTCAATCAGGGCTGTCAATGACTCGACCGTGTAAATTCCTTGAAAATGTGAGCGCAAACGATTTACCAATCTGAGTCTTGTGTTGTCCAATAAGTTAAGTGTGAAACTGATAGGTTGACTAGCAATAATGCTTAGAGAAAGTGAACTGGTGTTATCCAATAATTAACTTTTGCTGAATGGTTATTCAAGGATTTAACAACTTCAACTCAGCTTCAACTAACTGGGTGTGAATGCACCAACAAAATGCACTTTTTTCCGCTGACTCGTGAATGTCCAAGGTAGAAGTGCCCTTTTGGAAACAATACATGTACTTCAACACTTCAACTGCCTGCACCGTTCCGTGGACCTTCTTTGGCTGAATTTTCGTCCTTGCACCTGCACCTGAAAAGCCCGCACGTCTTTATGAGATTTCGCTTCCACTGCTCCCGTTTCAAAGCATCCATCAAGGACCGGTTGCTCCTTCCAAGTTCCAGACAATATAATTGCTGGATCTAATTATCTGTTTATCCCGCATGTCAAACTAGCTTTTAGCTAGCGGCTGGCTGGCTAGCAAACTTGATGCGGCTAGAATGCGCACCATCCACTGTACCGTGTGGAATGTTGCTGTAGCTGCCATGAGCAATCGCCGGTTGCCGAGCATAATAGACTTGCCTCGTGCCTGATACCTACTAGCTAGTATACCCGAACAAAAAACTGGGCTTTTCTTTAGTCTTTTTGACACATAATATTTGCTAATATTACAACTATTATTAGTATCTTCGGCATCTCCCCCCCAAACAGTTTTTAGCTGCTGTACACAGACGAAAGCAAGACATTGTACTTCATACATGCACCACTGCATCGTTGACCAGAGATATCGATAGTCAGCATGTCAGTATTGCGTTCTTGCCATTGCCCGGTCAACAATCGTCCTCGAAGGGGGTGCAAAGACACACTTCTCGAGGAAGGAAGATTCGATGCTTCCACTGCTGTTGTTTCCGCCCTTGCGGGGCGAAGGTTGTGTTTCCCAGCAAAGCTCAAAACTCTCCTTGCGCTGAGGCGCTCGAGGGACGCTCTCTTGTCTTTTCGGTGATGATGGCTGTGACTCTTCCACCGGCAAGCAGCTCGATTCATGCCGACCGCAACGTCGCCTGGGTGGATCATTTTGCTGGTGGTTTCCAAATGAATCCCATCGTTCTTCACGAAAGCTGGCATCAAAGTCGCAGCTGCAATCAGGGTCGAAGGAAACGCTTTGAGCGAACGAGGCTGGCAACATGGGTGCTTCATCTGCCTCTACAATCACGTTTGTGATTTCGATACCGCTTCTTTCTGACATGTCCAGCCGTAGCTGCTTGAGAAATGATGCCATGGGATTGGTAGTTGACATGGTTGTGCTGGTGTATTGGTCGTCTACTAGTACTGGTACCCGAGTAGCTTGATTGTTGATGAGGGAGCAGACCCAAAGAAAAATGAGTTTGTTGATGTCCTTCCAAAGCTTGCAGGCATGTTCGGGGAGTTGTTCGGTGATGATGATGAGCTACTAGTACTCTAGCTATTGATGATGGCGAGAGGAGGGAGACGGAAGGTGTCACGCATCATAGTAACAAGTTCTCCAATGATCTTAAGCTTCAGGGGAAGTCCCAAAAGTGACTGCTTCAGCCACTCAATGATAGAATACTGTCAACTTTTGTACTAAAATCTGATAAATATGTCATTATGATCCAAATGACTTAACGTTAGACTTTTGTGTCTTGTGAAATCTTGATTAAAGACATCCAAGGCCGTTAGAGAACCAAGAAACTGTGGCTCTGTAATTCGTTTGTTAGCCAGCAAGATACCCGACACCAAAAGCTGCGCTGACACCAATAGAGATTCTAAAGATGCTTGGGGCTGCCAAGTTTTGTTCTCAAGCGCTTGTTTTATTAGCAAGGATGAATGATTGGTGCGAGGAACGTGTGGATGTGTCCCTCCTCCAGCATCCAGCACACCCATAAAGCGAATTGAATTCCAAGAAGGCCTCTTTGGCAAGCCATCAGCCTGATGTGAACTGGTGCTGCCTTCTTGTACATGTATTAGCTAGATGTACTCACGAAGGACACCCAATGAAAACACAACGATGACAACATCAAATTTCTGGTTTGGCGCTGCAACTGCAACTGCAACTGCAACCTGCAGCATCTGTCTATTTGGTCCGCCACCAGATTATTCATTTAGTGCACGGTTGCGGCTGTTATTAGGGCCATGCATTTTCTGCCTAAACATTCCTGTCCCAAACAATGTTCTCACAGCTCCTTGTTGTCCGCAGGAAGATCAAAGTGACCTGCTCTTGGAACCCAGAGTCTTGGAACCCAGAGTCTTGGAACCCAGAGTCTTGGAACCCAGAGTCTTGGAACCCACAGACTTGACAGTGGTCCCTGGCCAGGCATGCCCACACCACTGGCTTCAAAGTGAGGAAACAAGGTCCGCAGTGGCATCATAGGCTGCAATCCATCCCACATCAAGAGTGAATTTTGTAGACACCCGGACTCCCAATGAGATGAGATCTCACCCCAGTAATCAGATCCGGCAAAAGAAGCTGTAAGGTCCTCCATTTCATTTTCATTTTCGTTGGTGACACGTTCGTGGTGTGCATAATCCACCCGCCAACGCCCTCGTAGAGTCTAGTACATTTTCTACGTGTGAGGCTGTTTGGCGGGTTGAAACGGCCACAATCCTCGTGTTGTTTAACGCGATAGGCTGATTCGGATTTTTGAATTTTTCATACAGGATTGAATCGCCGGTAACGGCCTGATGTCAGAATCCGAACGGATTTTCCTACTGATGTCTCTATACTAATTGTTACATGCGTCACTCATTTTCAAAAATCCGTTGAATCGTGAGGCCGTTACTCAGAAATCCGGTTACCGGGATAATCCACTGTACCAATACAGTACAATCCTTATTCACGGATTCTGGAGATTTGTATAAGGGATGTCTCATCGGACGTTCTGTGGATTCTGACTGGATTTTGACTGGATTTCAGCGACCATGTGTGTTGTTTGTACGATTGAATTGAACTAAACCATATCTTTTAGAAACAAATCGATATTTCCACATTCTGAGACAAAACATATGAATATTTCTTGTACGAGAAGATGGAAAAATGTAATTGTTTCTTACGTAAAAGGTTCTTATCAAACGGAAGCTTAAGAGAGGGCAAACAGTCGGAACCTCTCCGACTTGGTGCACGATACAAAAGCACATCGATCGATCTTATTTCCAGTCAGTTTTCCTCATTATTTTCCCAATCCAAAAGCAAGAAGCAAACTATGCCCTTTTCTTCAGTCATCCGGGCCAATCAAAAGAATCCACCATGACACACTGCCGTCGATCGCTCTTACCAACCACCCCCAATATTCTGATTACCGTTCTGTTGGTTCGGGTTGAAGGGTATCAAGTTCCCATTTGCGTCTCGAACCCAAACCTCTTGTGGTGGTGGTGGTTGCTGTGCCTGTGCCTGTGGAGCGGGTTGTGGAATGTATTGTTGCATCTGTGGTGCCGGCTGAAGTGTTTGCTGAAACTGGGGATACACAAATTGTTGTGGTTGTGGCATCATCATATTCTGCATCATGGCTGCTTGCTGCTGCATCGCTACCATTTGACTCCACCCCGATGGAATTGGAATCGAAAACTGAGGCTGATGCTGCATTTGCATGGCAACTGATGGTTGATACATTCGTTGATCCATGACTTGATTCGCCGCCATCATGGGAGCTACCGCCATCGGCGGGTTGAATGCTTGATTTGCTGCAACTGGAGCCATCGCCACTGGAGTCGCCGCAACTGGAGCGGCAAAAACAGGAGCCGCCGCAACTGGAGCCGCCGCAAGGGGAGCCATCGCCAATGATTGATGAGATCCTGCCACGGAAACAACAGCACCACCGGACACCGCAGGAGCAGATGCAACACTTGCCGTCGAAGACGCAGCTTGAGCCTGGACCAACTCGAGCAATTGCTTCTTCGTCATCTTCTTCAATACCTTGTCCTCTGGAATGACGGATGGATCTTCGGTCAACAAGGAAGCGTCTTCTTCATCCTCCGAATCTTGAGTCAAGATCTCCTCGGGAACTGACTTTTTCTTGGCGGACGCAGTCTTCTTGGGCTTGCTCGACTTCTTCCAAACTGCGACGAGATACAGCTTACATTTCAGCTTTACAGCTTTACTATTTGCAGGCTTATTCTAGAAAATAATCAATACTAACTGCTCACTTATTTGGAAATACAAACTTTACATCTCTTAGATCGTTAGATTAATCAGTACACAATGATATTGTCGCATGGTAGCATGCGAGGTTCTGAGATGTTACTCAGGTTTCTTATATGTCTATCCCTTATGGTTGTCAATGGATCTCGCTACTCGTTGATGCAGACTGCTCCTGAGTTTCCTCTTGCAGTCTTCATCTGTAGCTTGTCATCTCCTGATACCCCTCTTCTTTATCCTGTTGACGATCGTAATCTCAATGAGGATCCTATCTTGGATTCGCTCGAAAGCAATCCCTTGATTCGCTCGTAAGCAATCTCTCCTATCCTTGTCGATCGAATCGCGATGAGATCCTATTTATACTGGACTCCTATGGGAGTCCACCTTTTACGATCCACCGAGCGCTAAAGAGCCGCTACTATACTGTACTGCTACTACTACTGTTATCTCTATCACCGGCAAAGTCTTGCATCATCTCGCACGACCGAGTTAACAGAACGATCCGAGTTAACAGAAATCTTCGAAAAATGAGGCTTGACTGCATTAAGGCTCGGCTTGTGTGTCACACCTTGATTCGTGCTTTATTAACCTCTATTATCGGTTCGAATCTGAGTCATGCTTCAACTCCTCACTTTTTCATTAACTCGACGGAGACGACCGATACGTACCTATCGTACGTATCGATATCGAACAACAACAACAAGAGCAAATCGCTCTGTGTTGTTATCTGTGTTCTTGGGTTACCCAGGACTGGCATTGGTCGTTCGGTGCGGCTTGCAGTTGGTCGTTTGAACTGGCTTGCAGTGGTCGTTTGAATGATTCGAACAACTCGAAGGATTCGCTCGCAGTTGGTTCGAACAACTCGAAGGATCCGGATTCGTACACTGATAACATCACGAGCAATCGATCTGTCATTGGTCGTTTGAACGAAGGAAGGCTTGCAGTTTCGCTTGTGGTGGATTCAAACGACCTTCGCTTGCAGTGATTCAAACGACCGACAATTCGCCGAACTGTTCGAAAGCTCATAAATTCCAACTTCAATTGACTCGATTGACTGGATATCCACCGCGCTACTCTTGTCGCCACTCCTCTTGTTGCCGCTCCTCCTGTTGTGCCGCTGTTGCCATTGCCATAGCCATTGCTCCTCTTTTGTTGATTCTCACTTGATGGACCTTGACGACGCTTCCTCTTCTTCAGCATCTTCATCTTCAGCTTCAACTCCAGCACCAGCGCCAGCATCCTTGTTCAGTCCACAAGGCTTCAGACAAGCCTTCTTTGAATCTGATCCAGTCATCCCACCATCTGATCCTCCAACCATGACTACAGCACCCTTGACCGCAGTTCAATTCCAGGAGCTCCTCCAGCACATTGGGAAAACCAAAGAGAAGACCAAGCTTACAGAAGCCCCTCGGCTTGGAGGTATCAACCACACTGGAGCCTGGACAGGATCTGGGTCAGATGGACTGGGAAAGGAACCTCAAAGCACACTATGCCTCAGGGGTTTCCATGGAGACGACCATCTAAAACTCACACTACAGCTC